GTACTTATTGCATTCTGAGTTACCCCACGCTTCGATTACAAGCCTTGTGGAGGATCAACTGAGTACATAAAATGGCTGCAGTCCCACAAGTACAGCCGAGGAGACATCCTTGGCGAATTCGTCGGCGAGCTCATTACCTTCGCTCCCGCAATGTCCTGCTACCAAGCATAGTAACACTTGCCGCCAAGAGTTAGAGAGTGTCAAAGCACTCCTTGATGAACGTAGAGGTGATCGTGCTATTGGATAGGGCCCTTATGGCTGCCTGGCTGCGAGTTGAAAAGATTGTTAGTACCTCGGCCTGAATAGCCGTGGACGGAATACCCATTGTAATAGAAAGTTTGTTGCCAGGTTCAAAGACACGCTCTGCCCTCCTTTTTCATCCTTCTGTGTACCAGTAATATCTAGGATGCAATTTAGATAAACCATCTGAGCAGACTTCTCGGTCTGAAATTTTGACCTGGAATTTTCTTCCAAAGCAGATTTTCTTTAGCGTCGGAGAACTCGCAAAGTTCTAGACCTGGTATTTGGTTAAAATACCTTTGTGTTGTTTCCTCTTATTAATCCAGGAGCCACTCTAAACTCGCGGTTGAACACCTTGACATTGAACCTGTAACCGAGATAAGAGCCAAATTTTGGAGTTTGTTAGGACATGAAACGGCTGTTTTTGCAACGTTTTTAGCTATCAGCCTCTGGATACATACTATACTACTGGACGGACTATAGTGCGGTAGAGCCATTCTATTAATTTGGAGGTCAGACCGAAAGTTCGATCAAAAATCGGTCCACGCGACCCGGGTACTTTCCCGTAAAAAAATAAGTTTTACAAATTGGAAATGTAAAAATATGTTTGATCTCGGCTATTGTACCACTTTACCTTACCTTTAAGCTTCAATTTATGACGTCACTAACCGTGTAGGCTCTGTGATCTTGGGACTATTAGGTAATATAGAGTTTCTTGGGGGAAATTGATATCTAACAAACAAATTGCTATAGAATCGGTAGAAATATTGTATATGAACACATTTCACGAGTTGTTAAATTTTTCATAAAAAAGGTGTAGAATTTACAAAAAACGTAAAATTAAAAAAAATTACAAAATGGCTGCAACAGATATTCTGCATGCTGGCATTTTTTTATATTTGCACATTTGCATTTTTTTATATGGCACACTCTTGAAACTTCACAGATATGTTGTAGTTGATGCCAACCTCCATTGCCTCTTATATGAACATTCTATTTGAAAACTTTCCAAAATTATAAAAAAAAAAACAATTATGATTTTTTTCGGCGGCAATGAACCAATGAGTAGTTTCCTTACTTATTTGCCCAAACAAACATTTTAAGGCTAAAATTGTTGTTTCTGGAACTCCATTGATTGAAATACATATATGCAAGAAGAAAGCTTTAGTGTTTTTTTCTGGCGAG